GCCCTTGGGCCAGAGAGTACCAACGGTATCGATGTGTACCGATGGATGTCGAGAAACTTGCACTAGGGGCTCCTGGCCTTACTACTAGGAGCAAGAAGCTACTAGCTACTAGTAGCAAGAAGCTACTAGGAGCAAAGGGCATCGCTACTAGGAGCAAGGACGCTACTAGGGGCTCCTGGCCTTACTACTAGGAGCAAGAAGCTACTAGCTACTAGTAGCCAAATAGAAGTAAAAGAAGAACTCAGGACTGAGGACCCATCCCATGCTGAACGAGGACCCCTGCGAGGACACCAGGACCCCATGCACTGCCAGCACTTTTGCTCTTGGATTTGGACGCTTTCGTCCCTGCATCGGTGACAAATGATCTGAAGTACAAGCTTTCGCTCTACAGGGTGAAGGCCTGCCAATGCCCTGAGCAATGCAATGGTTCTTTCATTTGATTCAGCTCGGATGTTCGGATGCTTTGCTATGTTTTCACATGCTGTTCACCATTCTTTGCTGCCATGCCCCCCCCCCTTGGGCGTTGGCTCGGCATCGGCCTCCGCGCGAGATCGGGCTATGCGTCGGCTCACGCGGAGAAGGTCTGATCGCGCCGCACCGCTGCCTTCAGGAAGTTGGGCCCATTGGGCTCCGTCGCGGTGCCGCAGAAGCTGTTCCGGGCCACGTAGACGGTGGTGGAGTACTTCTGCCCGTAGCGATGCGTGACGGACACCACCAAGGGGGCATCTTCGCTGCGATCCTTCAAGTAGATGTGATCACAAAGGCAATGGATTGGAATGTTCATGGGACCTTGACCAGGCATCAGCCGGGTGGGAATCGCTGAGAAGATACTCTTGCTCAGCACCATCGGAACTACAGGCGCATCCAAGGTGTAGTCATTGGGATCAGGGATCTGCTGCCCAAACTTGCCAGGGGTCTCCTTATCATCGGTGATTTGAAACTTCTGGTAGGTTGAAATGTCCAGGACGTTGTTCATGTTTCCTGAACTATCCTGCATTCTGGGTTGATCTGGCGAAAATCGCCACTGATCATCTACAATGAACTTGTACTGGTGAACACCTCTGGGAAGCTCCTGTACCACGGAGAACTCCTGCCCAGATCTCACCATGGGGATTTGGTCCTTCCAGCCATTGAACGAGGCCGCGAGGAAGACGTTCTGACCACCGTGGGTCCAAGTGAAAACCACAGGAATACAGTCATCCTTCTCTGAGTCCGTCAACACGCTGGTGCTCTGCTGTTCCGACGGTCCACTTTGGGCGCCCACATGCGGTCCGAGGCTGCCATTCATCGGCAACGTGCTGCCGGATCCGCGGCTCGCCAAGACCTTCCGAGCTTGTTGGTTGCCCATGAGGTACCGCGGACTCACGCCATGAGTGCACGATAGTTCACGAGTTCGGATCCAACCAAAGCGGTCAGAGCCCGCAGCTGAAGAAAAGGTGGCGATGTCCAGTACGGTCAGAGCCGTCAGTGTGTTTGATGTCCAATCTGCTGCTACCGAAGTCATGATGGAAACTTGCTAATGCCTCTCTACATCCAAAGAAGCCTCTTCGAGTCCAAAAAAGAGAACCTTTGCCTTCAAACCTGCTCATGACTTCATATAGCTACATACAGCCACCTTCTCAAGCTCGTGGCTTCCTCTTAGGTTTAGAGGCCATGCCTCTTTAGGGTTGGAGGCCTTCCTCTTAGGCCCCCCGACCAGCGTCTGTTCCACGTGTCGCCGCTGCTCCCACTGCGCTGCGGGCGGCATCCGCTGCTCCCGGAGGTTTCGGCTCACGCGGAGTCGGGCGAAGGCCAGCCGCCCTCCTCGGACGGACCCAAAACAGGAATCTGTTTTAAATTCCTGTTCTAGGAACTAGAAGCTTCTTGTTTCTACTAGCTTCTTGTTACTAGTAGTAAGGCACTTGTTACTACTAGCGATGCACCTGTTACTAGTAGCTTCTTGTTACTACTAGTAAGGCACTTGTTCCTAGAAGCGATGCACCTGTTGCTACTAGCTTGTTTTTGTTTAAGTTATGTTTTATTGTATGGAAGAGAAAACCTTTCTTTTAGTACGTGTTGTTGTTTTATTTGTTCTCTTTAGTACTCGTTTGTCCCTTTCTTCTGTTAGCCCTCTCCTACTGAATCAAGCAAGGGCGACTAGCTCACTCCTGGCTACTTAAGCTACAACCTACTGGATGCAGGGTAGCTCACGCTTCTTCCAGGAAGAAGCTCACACTTCGAGGAAGCTCCCCCGCGTGAGTGCGGGGGGAGCTTCCTTGAAGAAGCATTTGCATTAATGATTTGGTTCCCAGATGTTTTGGCAAACTTAACTGAACTTCACACATTTTCTCTGTCTTTCCTTTGTTTCTTCATTTCTTCCGGTTCCCTTATCTTCCTTGCTTTTCTCATCGTCTCTCAGACTGCCTATTACTCCTCGCAAGAACTTGTCTTGTTCGATGCTCTTTGGACGTTTTCCAGATGAGGATTCTCCACCCAAAAGGCACAGCAATGTCGGCATTCCCTCCGCCTCTCCTGCCATGTCTGCAGGTATCTCTCGCATCTGGGAGGGGTCGACGTCTCTCCTGTTCGCAAGGTTCTCTCCAACAAACACCCCCCAAAAAAAAGGGCACAACGCGCTCCAAAATCAGCGGAGTGGGCCCATGTTCCACTGGAGAAAGGAAAAGTGCGTTCAAGTTCGGTCGGAGGTTACACTGTTACACCTTTGCTCGGCGCCGAAGGTCCGGTCTTTTTCCGCAAAGAAAGCGCTTTGGCTCTTTTTGTGAAAAAGAAGCTACTAGGAACAAGTGCCTTACTAGTAGTAACAATGTTTGCTATTAGAAACAAGTGCATCGCTACTAACAAGGACGCTAGTAGTAGTTTTGTGAAAAAGAAAAATGACCTAGGAGCAAAGGGCATCGCTACTAGGAGCGATTGGACGCTACTTAGGGGATCCTACCAGCACCTACTGGGAGCGATCGGCCGCTACTAGGTTGGAGGCCATCGCTCCTATAGGGTGGAGGCCATCGCTACTAGGAGCAATGTTCGCTACTAGGAACAAGTGCATCGATTCTAGTAACAAGTGCCTTACTAGTAGTAACAAGGACTCTAGTAGTAGTGCATCGCTACTAGGGTGATCTCAGAGTTCACTGCCTTTCTGCTTGGGAACGACCTCACTGGCACGATACCTTAGATATGTGAAGTGGATGGCCGAGTAGCAACAGAAGCAAAGAGCCCAGGGAAGCATGGTACAAAGCAACATCGCTGTGCCCAACGACTCCGCATTGCTTTCTTGCTCTATGTCTATGTCTTGCTTTCTGGGTTTGTATCCCAAAAACATCATCGACATGTAGCCCACCATGGGACCTCCCAGGATGGCACCGCAGCTCCCGGCCATGCAGCGCCACCAGCCAATGATCTTCCCACGACTCTCCGCTGGCACCAGCTCCGACCAGAGCGGTCGGAAGACTCCAGGTTGGCACCAAACTGCCAGCAACGAGAAGAGGAAAAGTGCCACAGCGATTTGGATCAAACTGTCAGGGCTTTCATCTGCTTGATCCTTCTGATCAGTTTGATAGCTGTGTGGTCTCAAAACCCAACAAAGTGGGATGGCTCCAAGCAGAATCGACATCTGACCCACGAACGCGCGACCATGCAAAGGCCACCAGGACGCCAAACGGTCACCCAAAAGGCCGCCCAGTAAGCTTCCCGCGATCTTGCCCACGGACATCACCGTCAATAAGCTGGCCGCATGGGTTGCAGAAAAGCCCAAACTTTGAAGATACATCATCGTAAAGCTCAAGGCATTCCAGGGGATGCAACCCACCAAGCCTCCCAAAAGCAAGGCCCAAAAGCTTGGGATGGACAAAATCTTTTTCAGTTGCTCCATCTCTGAGCCCAACTCTCTCACAAAGGATCCTCTCTGGGGCTTCTCACGTGCGTCAGCTGGGAAGATGATAAAAATCCAGATCGCAAGCATGAGAGTGATTCTACCCATGATCCGATATGCAAATTGCCACGTAAACATCCCATACAAAAAGGCCGAGGCTGATCCCGCCAGGCCCGCGCACATGGCCAGAATGGAAAAGGCCTTGCCCCGGCCAGTCTCTGGCACGTTCTCACTCACTAAGCTTTGAGAGACCGGCACCACCGCTGCTGCAAAAAGGCTGAGAGCATCTGTGTGAACATCAAGCCTGGAGGTCATCGCTTCTAGGTTGGAGGTCATCGCTTCTAGGTTGGAGGCCTTCGCTAGTAGGGTGGAGGCCATTGCTAGTAGGTTCCTTTTGCTAGTAGGCTGGTTCCTTTTGAACATCAAGCCTCTCATGGATGCCAAGGAAGGTGTCGTCAAAGTACAGAGACCGACCACTGGCATGGACCAAAGAATCAAATTCCTTCAGTCCCAACGATCTGCCAGTGAGCCCCAGAACACCCCTGAAAGGCTGCCAGCCAGACCACGCGCCATCAGAATCATTCCTAACAAGTCTGGACTCAACGACAACTGGTTTTCCAGCTGCGTAAAGCACACCGAGAAGAGGCCCAGGTCGATCTCATCGATCAAACTCCCCAGCGTCGCCAGTAGAAGCGCTCGCCGCATGGCATCAGCACAAATCGCGACAACACGACCACGACCCGCACGCTGGAGCCACAAGGCGTCGTTGGAGAGGTCTGGAGATGTCTGGAGGTGTTGGGCAATCATGTCCGGGAAGACTAGAGGGGTTGGTGTGGTACACCAATTGGTGGTACACTTGGTGAATATGCCCTCTATGAATCAATCAAGGGCATACTGCGGCCATCTGCACAGCAGTGATGCATGGAGTCCATGGTTGGCCACTTGCGAGTGGCCTTCCCAGTTGCGCAGACTCAAATTCTCCTGTGTCCAGCGTCGCTCCGGGGATGCCTCAACCTTGCAGCCATCGAGGTGTGCTTTGACTTAAAATGGCCAACCATCCTCGTCCCAGCACCACCCCCAGGCGAAGCAGCGCCTCCTCATCTCTTCCAGTAACCCAATCAGTGCAAAAAAAGGATGTCTTCTCATTTCCTTTTCCATGCTCTTCAGCAAGAAAAGCTCTTCATCTTCGCTTCCCCTGCTTCCTCCAAACGAGCACATCCCCGCACTCGTCACTCGTCCGTACTCGTTGTCTCAGTTCCCGGCCGCACGATCCCATCGAAGAACTCCCGGAAGGTCTCATATGAGGCCTCGTCCCCAGCCACGGCACCGACCTGGGGCTTGGGATGAAGGGGAATCAAAAGGAGCATGCTGAGCATGGATGTTCTCGCACCACAAATCACAACTGTCAGACGGCTTCGCATTTCCATTGACTGAGGTCGTGAACAAAAACGAAAAAAATAACAAAAAATACGTGTGTCCGTTTTTTGTTCCTTCCCTTTCTCTTTGGACCTTTACATTTTAGACCTTTCTTTGTGTTTGTCCTTTCCTTTCTCTCAAAAAAGACCTGACGCCTTGGACACAACTGCCAACACCTTGGCATTTGCAAACACGGACCTACCGTAGGATCCCGCTCATTCCCGCTCATCCCTCACCTGAGCGTCCCAGCCGTCTTGATCATCCGATGTCCCACATTGTCAAAACAGGTCTTCACGCAAGTGGCAAAGGGCACACCGAGTGGTGTGCTTTGATCCTGCAAAGATGCTTTTCGCTGAAGAGGCTGCAACATCGGGTCTTCAAGCTGCGGCGAGGGAACAAAAAACTCTCAAAGATCACATCGAAGCTGCTGCGCTGGTGCCTTCAGCCGGTAGTAGATGGATGGATTTTGTCTGAAGACTTCTGCTGCCAAGCTGTGCCTGGAACGCGAAGCAGGCTCCGTAGGCCTTGTGATGGAGTGACCCTCCCCAAACAGCGTGTCCACACTGAGGAGCTTTACGGGTAAGTGTAAAAGCCCGTGTTCAATCAGGGAGCTGGGCGTCGCAGAAAAGTTCCCTTCGCGCGAATCGCTGGCCGCCGGACGGTGCTTGATGGAGGCGCGCTCGCATTGTGGTGCCGCGCGCATTTTTGGACTTGGTGATCACTTTTCGTGGTAGGCGCGGGGGAAGCCTTGTGCTTTGGTGGTCTAAAGTCGACTTTTCGTGACAGGCGCAAGCGATCGGAGCAGCTTGATCTTGACGTACAGACTTTGTGGCAGACACAGTACTTTGGACGTGGTGGTGGTCTTCCGCATGGCGCAGATTTCGTGGCAGGTGCAGTGAATCGTGACTTTTGGACATGTGGCTCGTTTTCAGAAGTCGTGGCAGGCAGGTACTCTGTAGACCTTGAAGTGCACATTGCAGTACGATTTCGTGGCAAGTGTAATACTTTGTTGACCTTGAAGTGCAAACTTCTTGGCAGACCTTGAAGCAGACTTTGTAGCAGGCACAGTACTTTGTGGGCCTTGAAATACAGATTTCCTGGCAGACGCAGTACTTTGTGGACCTTGAAGCGCAGATTTATGATTTCGTGGCAGGCGCAGTGCTCTGTGAACCTTGAAGTGCAGATTTCGTGGCAGGCGCAGTACTTTGTGGCAGGTGCAGTACTTTGTGGGCCTTGAAGTTTCGTGGCAGGTGCAATACTTTTGTGGACCTTTCCCAGCTTGCGAACCCCCCATCCACCACCATCACCACCATCACCATGACCACCATCATCACCACCACCATCACGGCGATCTCCACCTTCTTCATCACCACCATCACCTTCTTGGACCCCAACGCGTCTAGATCTTTAGACTTTCTCCTGCTACACCTTTAGAATTCAAACACACAGTCTGGTGTCTCTTGCCAGGATAGTTGCTACTAGCCTTGGGAAGCCCAAGTCAAGACATCAAATACACACATGACATGTCTGTTGATGGTCTTTTCTAGACCTTTGGGACTCTAGACTGTTTTTTGCCTTCCTTTCTTGTTTTCTTTCTTCTTCACTTCAACAATGTTGGACTTCCAGTGGTTCCGATACCTTTGTAGTTCTCCTACAAGCTTCATTGGCTCGAGGCGTTCTAAAGGACAATTGGAAAAAATACGGGTCCCACTTGAACTAAGTTTAGTTGAACCAATGGTTTTCGTGCTTTCGTGCATCTTTTTCTTTGTGGTATTTCAGAGGCTTACGCCCGACAGCGGGCCAGCAGGGGGCCTAGAGGCGGCAAAGGTAAAGGTAAACAGATGGGAGCGGCACTGCGGCAAAGGAGTCGCTGCATGCAAGTGCAACTGGTGGTCGGTATGGAGACAGGGCGTTATTGGCACGGATGCTGCCCGAGGCCACCAGTGGCCAGTGACTGGCCGTGGGCAGTGGCCGGTGGCCGGTGACCGGGCCGGTACAAAAATTGTATACTATGTTCTTTCAGGCCTTTCTCTTGTTTGAACCATTCCTCCTTTCTTCCATTCGTTCCTTCAAAATACCCAAAAGCAAAGGGGTGGGGCCGTTGACATCGACACAAGAAATTCGAACGTGGTGATTCCCCCACTCACTCGTCCCAGCCATTCCCTTCCATCGCCTGTCGGTCACGTCTGGCATTTGGTTCGGGCACCAGTCACGGGGGAATGGAGGTGGCGGAGGTGGCCCTTGTGGCAGCGGAGGAATGGATTTGGCAGCCTCAAACAGTGCAAAGGCTGGCTAGTAGGTTGGAGGCCATCGCTAATAGGTTGGAGGCCGGAGGCCATCCGTATTTGGTTGGAGGCCACTCCTAGTGGGTTGGAGGCCATCGCTAATAGGTTGGAGGCCATCGCTATTAGGTTGGAGGCCATTCCTATAGTAGAATGGAGGCCATCGCTATTAGGTTGGAGGCCAGTGCTATTAGGTTGGAGACCATCGGTAGTGAGTTGAAGGCCATTCCTAGTAGGCTGGATGCCATCGCCACGGCCATCGTTAGTAGGTTGGAGGCCATCGCTGGTAGGTTGGAGGCCATTCCTAATAGGTTGGAGGCCATCCCTTTTAGGTTGGCTGCAGGCCATCGCTATTGGGTTGGAGGCCATGATTCTAGGTTCGAGGCCATTCCTAGTAGGTTTTCAGTTTAGAAGTGAGGTCCGTTGCCGTTGAGGTCCCGGCCTGCGCCGCTGTGGCAGTGCCAGGTCTGAGCTCTTCATCCACTAGCCTTCGGCAGCCATAGGCCAAGACACTCGCCAAGTCCTGCGCGGACATCTGCATGTCTCGCGCCACAGCCACCTCGCAGGGACCAGAAGGATGAAATCTTGCTTTGGATGTCCACTTTTTCTTGTGGTGCTCCTTGTTGAACAAGAGAACCTGTCCATTGATGTCTATGTTTTTCTCTTTCCCTCCCCTTCTCTTTCCCTCTCTCTCTCTCTCTCTCTTTGTGGGTTACTTCGCTCCTTCCACCCTCCGACTGGAACTAGTAGCGAGGCACTTGTTTCTAGTAGCTTCTTGTTACTACTAGTAAGGCACTTGTTACTACTAGCGTGGCACCTGTTTCTAGTAGCTTCTTGTTACTACTCAAGAGAATGTTATGCATGCTTTGGGTGCCAATTCTTTCACATGCTATACATGCTCAAACACGCTCACCCAGTTCTGCCTCCCACACGGGCTTCCGCTCGCCGCTCTCGCTCAACTCCCGGCGGCGCGCGGGGTAAAGACCTCAGGCCGACGTGGTCGGAGGAGGCAATGCATCAATGACTAAAAGCGATTGGAAGAAACGGTGAAAGGAAAACGATGGAGGACTGGAAAAAAAAGGATGAAATAGTAACAAGAAGCTACTAGTAACAAGTGCATCGACAAGTGCCTTACTAGTAGTAACAAGAAGCTAGTAGAAACAATATAGTGTGGTGCCATTGCTTCTAGGTTGAAGGCCATTCCTACTAGGTCGGAGGCCGCTCTGAGATCTGATTTGTGGGTCGTTCAACCAGTGCCTGACATTGCTGAATCCACCCAACATGTTGGAAGAGCCAAGTAGACGGCTTGATGCCCTCAGAATCAGAGAAGCAGGCAGTCAGATAGTCTAGAAGCAGGTAGTGGCCCAAACCTCTTTAAAATCAGAGAGTCTAGATCGCACGTTGAGGGTGCATCGGTTCAGCGTCCATTTCAAGATCTGCTGCGAATCCCTTGTACTTCACCGACACGAGTCACACTCCTAGACTGGTGACTAGACATCCCCAGGTGTCTTCCCTTTTTGAGGCTTCAGGCCCAGATGTTGGCACAAGTCCTGGATGGTGTGCAACGCGAAGAAGTCGAACACTTCAATTCAAAAGGTGTTCAAAAGGCTAACCTTTGGCCTCAACTGTCATTAACAACAGCATCAAGTGCGTCACTCTTTCTCGAATGATGGCAGTTTGCGGTGTTGCTGGAGAAATGTTGCAAGAGAACCTTGCGTGGTCACCAACTGTTTAACAACTTGCCTGCATTCCTCCGTCCAATGATCCTAGCGGTCCTAGCCTTCAGCCTGACCTCGTTCTTCGCCAGCCGCGGCAATAAGAGCCGCGCAGAGGCCTCTGCGAAAAGATGAGGAGACGAAGGACGAGAAGACCTTGCGGATTGGAACCTGAATCCCAAGCGCTTCCATCCTTCTCTGAGGCCTTTTCCTCAAACTAGAAAAAAGGAAAGTCGTGCGGTTCCAAAAAAAGAAAAGTCTTCAGAAAAGGTCTACCCATCAAGAGGAATTGTGTTTGGTGGCAGACTGCTCAGTTATCCCGATTTTCCGGGAAGGCTAGGATTCTGATCTTCGTGAGCGCAAATGCGAGGTTGGACCGGACATCTCCAGCATTCTCCAGCGGTGCGTCTGTCCTTCAAATGGTACGTCTGGAAACCTACTGCAAACGCGCCAAAGTTGTGCAGGAAGAGGACAAGCACGAACACGCAGACAGGGAGGGACATCCACAGCACTAAAATCCTTCATGATTGACAGTTAGGTCTAGGGTTCATGCTCTCCTATCAACGACCACACGAATTGGTGTTCCTACTGTCCAGTGTTTCTTCCCAAGCACCTCAGTTGCCAGAATGCTCCGTAACATCTACTGGGTGCTGAGCCAATTTCATTCCAACTCAGCAGAAAAAAATGAAAACCGCCGATGCCCGCGCAACGCCGGCGATTTGCCTGCACTCCCGAGCCCGAATTCGAAGGGCACAAGGTGATGGAGCCAACGCCATCTGGGAACGTGGCGCCAAGATGGGGCCAGTCGTCCTTGAAAAATGCTCATATTATATAGGAACAAGGTTCGCTACTAGGAGCAAAGGGCATCGCTACTAGGAGCAAGGATGCTACTAGGGGCTCCTGGCCTTACTACTAGGAGCAAGGACGCTACTAGGAGCAAAAAAATTGATACCTCACAACGTTGTGGACCAAAACGCCTTGGGCATAGTTCCTTTTTCTGCCCTGTATGGGTTCTGTTTGTCTGCTTGATGCCTTGCTTTAGTGTCAAAACAAGTTAAGTCTATTTTAAGATGCTGAGCTCGCACCCTCGCTGAAACCGCCTGAGGAACTGAAGGAGAAGCCTTTCGCCTGCAGGATGACTGATCTAAAAAGATTTGAAAAACATGGAAGGCCGGGCCACCAGAAGCTGAAAGTAAGCTAGGACTCAATACACTGTATGTTCACACAAATGAAAAAATAGACAAAGAACACCAAATCACTCGAACTAAAGTATCTATCTATGCAGCCATCATCACCCTCTCCGCCTCTAAAGCTCTGCTTAACGCTTGCTCCACGCGGAGAGTGGCCTCCAGTGCCTGATTGTGCACAAAGACGCGTTGGAGGGGTTTTGACTCTTCCTTAGGTCCGGCACTTAACTACACCCCACTACACCTGTCTCCTAGTAGCAAACGTTTTCGGTTGGTCCATGAAAGCTCCAGCCTGTGAACTCGTTCCTAGTTTCCCGATTGGACTTGGCCATTGCTATTGATCGGCTTTGCAACGTTTTGTAGAATGGTGCGGGTCTTGGTTGTTCGTGATGGAGGCCACGAATCTTCACCATGATGTATGGCAGAAGAGCCACTTCCACATCTGACAACTCCTTCATTGGGCTCTTGCCGTAGTCCTCCCAAAGAGAGTTGCCTTGAAGACCTCCGCATTCTCGTGCTGGTAGGCGAGGCGAAGGTGGTCGGCCTCGTGCAAAGGTTTGAACAACGGCCGGACACACGTGGCACCGAATAGTCCTCAAGAGCGCTTTCTTTGGACTAAGGATTTTCGTTTGTAGTGGGCATATAAGGGGTTTAAGAAAGGAAGGAAGAGAAGGAAAAAGCACCTTCTTGACTGGGGCCCAGGGCCTGATTGATCCACACTACCATGCCACTGCCATTGGTGTAAACACCACGAGCCTGTGCAGCACGAGTTGGGAAGCTGGTTCAAGTTGCTCAGACTGGCTCAGAGCTTTCACTACACGAATCATTCCACAAATGAAAATGAACACCAAAGCTTGTAAACAAAACAGAATCTGCACGCCCACACCATGCCATCGAGCCTGGGGCCAGTGTCTCCCTAAGCCAGCTGAGAGATGGAGCCCATTTTGAGGCTCCTCCAAGAGCTGTCCGGCTGCCTGAACAAAAGATGATAAGTGCCTGAATCTTTCCAAGCTGTCCAGATAAATCCAGATGCTTGCTCAAGGAAGAGTCGTATGACGACAAATTGTGTACAAACTGATGAAGGTCTTCGCAAATGCAACGCAGTCCCGCCCGCAGCTGCTGCTCCATCTCCATGGACATCCCTTTGGGCTTTGGTGCATAGCTGTTGGAGCCCCGCCTAGGATGGAGCTGGATCTTTATTCACGAACCGAAGAAACTTGGAGAAGAGTCCTCAGACCTACTAATTACTAATTAATAGCAAGCTTGACCAGGAAGATGATCTTCCAAGTTGATGCAGTTACAGTTTTTAATGAGTCAAACGTCCTCGGCTAAACGAATGATCTACCTTGGATGCATTGGGCAACAGCAGCTGTGATGATTCAAATACGAGGCTGATGAGGTCTGTTGAGAAATTCAGCTTGGAGTAGTGGTCATGTCATATGGGTTGATACTGAATGTTTGCTCAAGAAAGATCCAGAATATTCCAGAATGGAAGAATGGTGATACCTCCATTGATCATCGCTTGACCTTCTGCACTTTGAAGCTGGCGCCTCTGTACGCTTCTGGGACCCCTCACAGTGGATAGTAGTCTCCACCACGTAGCAATTCATCCTCCACACAAGTTGCGGATCCCAAAGAAACTGCTCCAATCAGAGGACATTGCAGTTTCCTGGCACTTTCACGTTGCTAACAAGACACTTCCTCCAGACACTTGATGCGCGGAAAAGTGCTGGCCAAGTTTGCTCACAAGTTTCAAGCAAAAACCATCCTCAGAGCTCATCAGCGCTTCCACCAGTAAGCGCTCTGCCTCACGTCGGTCCTGAAAACAACAGGCTCCACCCCCCTCAATGCGTGTTGTAGAGCACATCCCGAATTCAAGATCTAAACCCTGGCAGAACATGGGTTGGCGTTAA